ATGGGGATGGGGGGCAGCCATCCTGGGGCGTGAAGCATCATGTACCACCCACACCACCTGCCCATGTCCTGCCTGCCCACCCCTTGGGGCTGGGTCCCTAGTCCCTGGGAAGTGAAGGTCTCAGGATGGGGTGTCAGGGACCATCACTCCCATGTAAAGATGCCATGGACACCCAGCCAGGCCAGGTGCTGCCTGGAGTGACCAGGGATAAAGAACCCACCCCAGTCTCATGTGTGGTTAGGGTGGAGCGGCGCCGACCCTTGGGCATCTGTGCTGGGCTCCTAGCTGCTTGCCTCTACCAAGAGGCTGCAGGACTCTCAGGTGACTGGTCATCTTGGGGTGGTTCTGTTCCCCTCTGGGGGATGGTCCTGGGTGCTCCTGGGGGTGGTAATGGATCCCCCATTCTCCTTCCCTCCCTGCACTCCAGGATGCTGGTCTGAGCAGGGGTCCTCACGAGTTGGGACCCCTACCCCACCTGCAACATTACTGGAACACACAGGCCTCCTCCTCCCCCAGCCGCCCCGAGCCTCTGCCCTTTGCCTCCTTGGGGCCAGGGGTGAAACCAAATCTGGGGCAGTGACACCCAGGCTATTTTGGAGCTCGGCTGGGCGGGCTGGCAGTGGTGGGGGCGGGGTGGGGGCGGGCCCAGTTTCCTTCAGCTGATAGCACCCGCCTGTCCTTTTGTCCCTGTCCAGTTTGAGGACCGGCAGGAGTGCGGGCTGCTGGGTGGGAGCGTTGTCGGTCCTGGGCCCTCGGAGGGAGGTGAGACCCAGCAGCCCCTGCCCCAGCATCTGAGCGCCTCGCCTGGGTGCTGCCCAGTGCCCCTGGTAGAGACAGGTGAGGAGGCAGAGAGCAAGCGGGGTGGGGGGCCATCCAGTGCCCCTGAGGACGGCTCTGCTGAAGGTCATGGCTCTGGGGGATGGAGGGACCTGGGGTAGGGTTTCAGCCAGGCGGCGCTGCTCCTGGGGTTGGGGCCATGGATTCTAGCCCCTGCCCCATTGGTGAGCTGAGCCAGACCCTCATGTGGGGAGGGAGCAGCTGGGGGAGGAGGGGGGCGTCAGAAGCACCCACCTCCTCCTTTGCCCAGTGCCCTGAGGGTCTGGCTGGCCCTGCCCCCAGCTCTGTTGAGATGGATGCCTGCTGACAGCTGGGGCTATTTTGGGCCTGTTGGCTCAGCGGAGGGGACAGCCAGAGGGCCAGTGACACCTGACTCCAGGAAAGAATTTCCCCTGGAGTTCAGGAAGCTGGAAGGCCGAGGGGTCTCAGGGAAAGGCACAGACTGCGGGAGCTTCCCTTTGAAGTCTTTTCTGGAAGGGTGTGGGGGCCACAGGGTTGGGGGCAAACTGGGGGGACAGGGCTTCTGGGAGGGGACCGCCCAAGGTTCTGCTCTGAGGCTGTGAGCCACTTCCCTCTCTGGACTCATCTGGAAAATGGCCCAAGACCCACAAGGACCCCAAGTTCTGGAAAAGCAAGGGTGGAGGGGCTGTGGGTGTGGCATGGGTCAGCCACAAGGCTCCCTGGCAGGCTTGCAAGGGGGGCGGGTCTTGGCCTCAGAGTGAAGATCCTGCCAGTGCCAAGCTGGGGCCTCCAAGGGGCTAAAGAGCCCGAGTGGGGTCCACAGGGAACTGCCTTCCCAGGTGGGCATCTGTGAGAGGAAGAGGCTTCCTTGAGAAGCTGGGGTTGAGGTCCTGGCCCAGTGTCTCCTCCTGAAACTCCTGTTCTTCCCTTGTGGCTGCAGCTGCAGTAGCCCCAGCCCCCAACATGGCAGGGGGAGGAGGAGGACACTGCAGGTGACCCTATGCCCAGAGGGGCCTTGGGTGGTCACTGCCCCACACTCAGCTTGGATGAAGGCAGCTCCAGAGTCCTGGGGCATACCTTGGGGTGCCTTGTCCCTGCTGCCCAGTGGGGATGCCTGCCTGGTATGGGGCATCAAGGGGTGTCTTGTCTGGGTGAGCCCCCTTAGACCTCCACGGGTCTGCCACAGTGAGGGTGGGGCATATAGGCCCTAGACAGGGAGCGCATCCCCAGTGGCTTTAGAGGTTCTTGGGGTCTCTGCCCACCCTTCTGCACCTGCTGAGAGCTGGCTCCCCCTGAGCCTGTGCAGAGATGAGACCTCCCTCCCCATCCCTGTCCTCCTGGCCCCCAGAGGCTGCCAGCTGTGGAACTGGCCCCCTGTCCCCTGCATATACTCACTTATGAGCTCAGAACAGTTGTCTCCCACAGCTGCTCTGGGTGTGGCAGGGGGAGGATGCCACGTCCTGCCTTGGGGAACCCACAGAGCAACTGTGTAATTCAGGAGGCGGTGGTGTGCTGGGAAGAGCCCAGAACTCAGGGCCCTGGGGAACTGGTGTCAAAGTAGTCTTTCCACAGAGGGACGCTGAGGCCCAGGAGGGTGTCCATGGAGGCGGGTGGCCACCTGCCCAGGTCCTTCCCAGGCCAAGAGCCCAGCCAGGCCGTGGAGGAGCTGGGGGCGGGGCAGAGGTGCTGACTGCACAGTGAGTCAGCAGCATGGTCCCAGCTCACCTCCTTGAAGGGGATTAAGGGGATTAGGTCCTAAATCACAGGATGGGGAGCTGGAGGGCCTGGGGACGTTGCCCCATTTGTCCCATGGTGGGCATCCCATGCTGATGGCCCGGCTCTTGGGGTGAAGAGAGTTAAGGCACTTGGGGACAGCCCAGGGCCCCGTGGGGTCCATTTGTGTTGGCTCTCTTTACAGAAGCCCCTGTGTAGGCAAGGCCCAGTTTCACCTCACCCACCTGTGCTGGAGGCAAGCGGTGCCCAACCTGGAGTGGGCAGAGGCCAGAGTCAGCCTGGGGCCTTTGGCATTGATGGCGCCAGCCCCATCCCTGCACGGTGTCCAGTCGGCAGAGCCACAGCCAGTGGAGCCTCAGCTAAGATCTGCAGAGTGACTACGTTACCTGCAGGAACCCCAGTTGGGCCTGGCTAGCCGGCCTGCCCATTCTCAGCCTGGAACTCCTTGCCTCTTTCTGGGGGATTCTCTGATTGTCCTCCACAGACACACCATTGACTGACTGCCCCTGCCCCTCCCCATTCCAATTCCTGGGGGAAGGAAGCAGGCACTCAGGGTGAGGAGGGGTGGGCAGCCCTGTGCGCTGGAGGAGCCCCCACCCCACAAGCTGCAGGATTTCCATTTTTTGCTCATTGATGAGCACACCCCTCAGGGGTCCAGACGAGGAGGGGGATCCCAGGAGAGGTGAGATGTGACCCGGCCCAGGACAGCTTCAGGCGGGACAGGCCCTGTGTAGAGGGCTCTCTGTTGTGGAATGCCCAGTGAGGAGGGCTAGGCAGCTGTGCACACAGCCTGCAGTGGAACCCAAACGCTTGGGTGGGGGAAGTCACCGAGGTGGGAGGATGGGGAACAAAGCGGACATGCCAAACAGATGGCTCGTACGAGAGTCTGCTGGGGTGAAGTACCTGTGACCTCTGGTGTGCCTTAGAGAGAGGGGACAGGCCAGTAGTGGGCACTTACTGTGAGCTTCCACAGCCAGGCCCTGTCAGAGTGCAGAGAGTGGCCTCTCTGTGACTGGGGGAGACTACGTAGGTTGGAGTTTCAGACTCTAGGAAGCAACAGTGTGTGGGGAGGGGACAGGACACCTACTGGCAGGTGGAGTGGCCCAGGTGGGACAGGGAAGGAAGGTCTTTGTGATGAGGTACAGCGTGGCACATGCCGCACAGGGAGGAGGGCAAGCTTGGTGCTGGTGTGGTGTTTTGGGACAGGTGCTCAGCTGGACATTGAGTTGGGGCAGCAGGCCTGGCGCTGGGAAGAGAGGGAGGAGACGCTCCTGCCAATGAAAAAGAGCCCATTTGGTGGGGGGTGGGGGGTCCAGAAAGAGGCAAATCGACACTTCTGGACCACCATACCATCTGGTGATGCTACCTGCAGGGATGGGGTGTGTCAGGGGAGACGGCACCCGGATGGGGAAGAGGGGCCATGTGGAGGGCTTTACCCTGGATTAAGCTGGATTTTCCAGGACAGGTGAAGTGGCCACGTGGGGAAAAGGCGGAGGGCTCTAAGCACAGCAGGGTCTCATCCCCATTCTGTCCTTCCCCCTCACCCCACTCGCAGGTTCCCTCACCTCCCCCCACCCCCACCACCATGGATCACTCCTCGTTCAGCGGTGCACCTCGCTTCCTAACCCGGCCCAAGGCCTTCGTGGTGTCGGTGGGCAAAGACGCCACGCTGAGCTGCCAGATCGTGGGCAACCCCACGCCGCAGGTCAGCTGGGAGAAGGACCTGCAGCAGGTGGAGGCGGGCACTCGCTTCCGCCTGGCTCAGGACGGCGACCTGTACCGCCTCACCATCTTGGACCTGGCGCTGGGTGATAGCGGGCAGTATGTATGCCGTGCGCGCAACGCCATCGGCGAAGCCTTCGCGGCGGTCGGCCTGCAGGTGGACGCCGAGGCAGCGTGCGCCGAGCAGGCACCCCACTTTCTGCTGCGGCCCACATCCATCCGCGTGCGCGAGGGAGCCGAGGCCACCTTCCGCTGCCGCGTGCGCGGTTCGCCGCCGATGTCTGTGAGCTGGGCCAAGGATGGGCGGCGCCTGGGCGCACTGGACGCTCCGCGAGTGCGCGTGGAGGCGAGCGGTGAGGCGAGCGCGCTGCGCATCCTGGCTGCGCGGCCGCGCGACAGCGGCACTTACACGGTGCACGCGGAGAACCCGCTGGGCGCCGCTAGTGCCGCCGCCGGACTTTCAGTGGACAAGGAAACAGACACAGACTGCCCGCCTGGGGCCTCCACAGCCATGCTCCTGGCGCACCTGCAGCTGCGGCGCGAGGCCATGCGCACCGAGGGCGCCCCGGCCTCGCCACGCAGCGCCTGCACGCGCACCTGCACGGTGACTGAGGGCAAGCACGCGCGCCTCAGCTGCTTCGTGACGGGTGAGCCCAAGCCTGAGATAGTGTGGAAGAAGGATGGGCAGCTGGTGGCCGAGGGCCGGCGACATGTGGTGTATGAGGACGCGCAGGAGAACTTCGTGCTCAAGATCCTCTTCTGCAAGCAGTCAGACTGTGGCCTCTATACTTGCACGGCGTCCAACCTCGTGGGCCAGACCTACAGCTCCGTGCTAGTCGTCGTGCGAGGTGAGCTCCTGGCGCCGGGCACGAGGTCACTGTGCGCAGTGAGCACAGGCAGAGGCTCCTCCCCAGGCCTCCTGTCTTTTCCTTCCAGCGTTGGCTGCTGCTGCCCTCTCCCCACCCTGTGCCTGTCTGGTAGAGGAATCCGTGGATGGAGGTCTTGGCAGCTCTCGCTGTTCTGTTCCATTGTCTGTGTGAGAGTAACACGAGTATACAACAAAGTGCTTTGTCACTAACACCCCCTCCCTCTAGGAGATGGTCAGGGTGCCCAGTGGCTGAGGGTGACCTGGCTCTCCACCCCTCCTACAGGATGCTAAGGGGGTCTCCCTGGCAGAGCTGGAAGGAGGGCAGGAGCAAGGACAAACCTTGTGCTGTCGGAGGCCTCAGGCTGGGGCTGCACCAGGGTGCAGCTTGAAGGTGGTTCTGGGTCAGTGTGCAGGCTCATGTCCAGGTCTGGGAGCTCCCCCAGGGCACCGGGGCAGCTGTAGGCAACACCATTAGAATTTGCTGGAGGGCTGTTTACTCTTGTTTCCTAAGACCAGCCTCTTGAAGTGGTTGGAGTCCCACCTCCACTTTTTACCAGCTGTAGGATCTCCAGCAGGGCGCTTCAACCCTTGTGTGTGTGCCTCAGTTTCCTTGTTTTTCGCACGGAAGTGCGCTCCTGGAGTTGAGCCATTCCGCAGGCCAATACTTGTCCAGTGGCCTCACTGCTGTGTGAACCCAACCCATCCTGCCTGTCCAGGACCAGCCTAGGGGCCTGCTCAGTGGGGCTGCTTGCTGTGGCTTCACCTGCCTCATTTCTCCTTTTCTCTTCCAGACTTCTCCTTATATTTTGGGCGGGGGGCTCTTTCCTTTAAGTTCTCTTCCCTCTCCTCTGTCCTCCCTCCTTTTCTATACCCCTACCTCCCTCTGTCCCCTCCTTACAGCTCCTCTGCCCTCCCACCCACCACCCTCTGCCCCCAAAGCCCCTCCAACCCCTGTCCTGGCTCCCTGCCCCCACCCCAGCCTTACACGTCCCTTTACCCTGTCCCCCTCCTTCCGCTCACCCTCCTCCTCGCCCCCTGACCGCCCCCTCTGTCACCCCTCCTGCCTGCCCCTCTTCCCTCTCCGCGCTCCACTCACCTGAGCTCTTTTTCCGCAGAGCCCAAGGTGCCCTTCAGAAAGCGGCTGCAGGACCTGGAGGTGCCAGAGAAAGCGTCGGCCACGTTCCAGTGTGAGGTGCCGCAGCCGCCCATGGAGACTGCATGGTATAAGGAGGAGACGCGGCTGTGGGCCGGTGCCAAGTACCTCATCGAGGAGGCAGGCACTGAGCGCCGGCTGACCGTGCTCAACGTCACCTCCGATGACGATGCTGTGTACATCTGCGAGACGGCAGAGGGCAGTCGCACGGTGGCCGAGCTGGCGGTGCAAGGTGGGCGGGCAGGGGGCCCAGGGACTGGGCAGGGTCCGGGTCTCACAGGAGCTGGGCAAGCGGCGTAGGTAGTGGGCGGGTGGGGTGGGCAGGACCCTGGCACGAGGGGTGCGTCAGGGAGGGGTGGGGTGGGCACTCGGGGGACAGGGGCGGGAAGGAGGTAGGGGTGGGACAGGCCTACAGGGGTCTCTCTGACCAGCTGCAGCCCTTCCCCCTCCCCTTCCCCACTGCTCCTCTGCCCACCCCAGGCAACCTCCTTCGAAAGCTCCCGAGGAAGACAGCTGGGCGAGTGGGAGACACGGCCGTGTTCTGTGTGGAGCTGGCCAAGCCAGAGGGCCCCATCCACTGGCTGTGGAACCAGAAGGAGGTGGTGGCCGGGGGCCGAGTGGCCATTACTGCCGAAGGCACGTGCCACACGCTGACCGTCTCCCAGTGCAGCCTGGACGATGCCGGTGAGGTGGCCTTTGTGGCTGGGGGCTGCCGGACATCCACCCAGTTCTGCGTGTCAGGTAAGGGCCTAGGGAGTACCTGTCACACAGAGGGTACACTGCCCACAGTCCACTGGGCCCTGCTCTGAGTTGTCGCCTGTTGCGGGGAGCGCCATGCGGGGCAGGGAATGCCTAGGTTGGAGCTCTGGTTCTCTGGGGCTCATGGTTTGTTTGACACCCTCCTCCACTGTGGTCACACTAGGCATCTGCAAAGTAGGAGTCCTGGTGGCCCCCCACCCCGTGAACCAGATTAGAAAGTGCAGGTGGTTCTAGAAGCACGGCGTGTAGGGGGTGACATCGCGGGTGTGTCCTCTTTCTGTGGCCTTTGGTGTTGAGATTGGCTCCCCCAGGGTCAGCCCTTTGCTGGGGATAGGGACCCTGCACGTGGGTCTCAGCACCCTTGGAAGGGTCATTGTGCCTTGCCTCAACCATCATCCAGCCCAAGATCCCCATGGAGTCAAGGCTGAGGACTGGAAAGACTTCCTTTCCAGGCCACGTGGACAGCTCAGGGTGGCCCCTGAAGCCCGGGCACTCTTTTCACTGCAAATGGCCACACCTGAGACTGGGGTTATGGGCTCACAGCGTCCTCTTGGGCTGGAAGTCCCCTTGGGCTGAGGCCATTTCAGAACACCAGGGCAGTGCCCCTGGGGAGGGCTGGGAATTCTGTGACAACCCCTTTATCCTCCTGTGACCTTGGAGCCAGGGCTTGGGGAGGGGGCTCCCAGCTGTTGACATGGGCCCGTGCTCTGCTCAGCCCCCAGAAGGCCGCTCCTGCGTGCTCCTGAGGCCCCTGTGGTGAAGGCCAGGACAGAGAGCTCCGTGACCCTTGGCTGGTCGCCACCCCCCCATGGGGACCGCCCTGTTGCTATCGACGGCTACCTGGTGGAGAGGAAGAGAGTGGGCACCTACCCCTGGAGCCGGTGCCATGAAGACGAGTGGGTGGCAGTGCCTGAGCTGACTGTGGCTGGCGTGGCCGAGGAGGGGGATTTCCAGTTCAGGGTGTCAGCTGTGAACAGCTTTGGCCACAGCCCCTACCTCGAGTTCCCGGGAACTGTACACCTGGGTAAGTGTGGAAGGTTCTGTTCTCCCTGGCACCCTGGTAACAACCTGTGGGGCCATCTGCCCCTGAATCACCCAGACCCAGAGTGTGGCCCAGCCTTGGAGAGGCCAGAGTGACTCATGGGTCCTCTTTACGGTAGTGGGGTGGGCCCAGGGTCCTGATGCTACTGAAGACTTTTTTGTGGGACCCAAAGACAGGACTCAAGCCCCACAGGAACCTATCTGTATCCACCAGCCCCCGGGCACTGGGCTACACAGCTGCCCTGCCACACTGGGTTTGTGGGATCTGAAGGGGATCTCGGGTGGCTGTAACTTGTCCTCACTCCACCCTGCATCTGACTTTTGCTCGTGGTCTCCATGCGCTTGTCCAGTGGACTTCCTAGCGCAGGGGTTATTTGGGCCCAGGCATTGGAGGAGAGGAGGGCAGGGGCCCAGCTCCTTCCTGAAGCCCCCATCCCACAGCCCCACAGCTGGCTGTGAAAACACCTCTGAAGGCGGTGGAGGCAGTGGAAGGCGGCGAGGTGACCTTCTCTGTGGACCTCACGACGGCCTCAGCAGGGGAGTGGTTCCTGGACGGGCAGGCGCTGAAGGCCAGCAGCGTGTACGTGATACACCGTGACGGCACCCGGCACACCCTCACCATTCGCTTGGTGCCTGTCAGCCTGCACGGGGCCGAGCTCAAGTTCGTGGCCAATGGTATCGAGAGCAGCATCCGCATGGAGGTCCGAGGTAGGGGGACCCCATCCCCTGACCCTGGGGCCCCTCTGAGCCCCGTTTCCTCCAGGAGTGGGGGCGGGATGGGGTCCCTGGGGTCTCAGGGCTCGGAAGATCTGTCGTTGCTCCTGGGGCAGGCGGGCTGCCGGATGAAGTGGGGCCAGGTGGTGGGGTGTGCAAGGTCCCCGGGTGTGAGTGGAAGAGGGGCTAAAGTGTCCCCGATGGCACCAAGCTTCAATTCTCTGTCTGTATGCCCCCCTTCCCTTCCCCTTCTCCCCTCCTCCCTCTTTGTTGATTCCTTCTATGCCACTTCTTGTCCTGTCTCCGCCTTTCTTGCCTCTCTGACTCCCCTCCACCATATCTGGCTCTTCCCCCTCTGTTCACTCTGCCTCGTTCCACTCCCCCCTGTCCACTTCCCCCTTCACCCACACCCCCTTTTTCCACCTGTCTGTGACTTCCAGCAGCCCTGGGGCTGACGACCAAGGGTCCGGCAGCAGCAGTGGCAGCACGGGAGGTGCTGGCCCGGCTGCACGAGGAGGCCCAGCTCCTGGCCGAGTTATCGGACCAGGCTGCAGCTGTGACGTGGCTCAAGGACGGACACGCACTGTCTCCAGGCCCCAAGTATGAGGTGCAGGCGTCAGCTGGGCAGCGGGCACTGCTAGTGCGGGACGTGAAGCGAGAAGACGCAGGCCTGTATGAGTGTGTCAGCCACGGGGACCGCATCACCTACCAACTATTGGTGCAAGGTGACACCAGTGTGTGTGTGTTCATGTCCTCCCTGGGCCGCCGCTGTGGCCAGGGCCACGCATTCTGTCCCCCAGCTCTGGATAGGCTCTGGGGGACCTGGGTAGCAGGAGCCGCTGTTCTCTGTCCCCGTGGGGACGGTGGGGGATCAGGGGCTCTGCCAACCCCCTGAGGAGGGTGGGGAGTCAGATAGGCTCAGGTGACCCTGTGGGGAGGGCAGGGGTGTGTGTGGGGTGCTCAGCCCATGCTATGGAGACAGTGGGGGGGGGGGGGGGGATGGAGTCAGGTGACCATGTGGGGAGGGCAGGAGTCTGGGCAGCTCTGCTGACCTTGTGAGGAGGGTAGGGGGTTGGGCAGGCTCAGGTGACCCCTGAGGGTAGGGTGGGGAACCAGGGACCCTGCCAACCCCGTTGGGAGGGTAGGGGTCAGGGACTCTGCTCAGTAGGGGAGGAGCTTCCTATGAGTGGGTGGCACTTGGGTGGTTGAAAGTCAGCAGCTGAGGCTGGCACTGTCTCTGAAGGGGCCTAGGTTGGGGCGAGGGCCAGTGTCTCCCATGATCCTGAAGGCCTGAGCCCCTTCCTCTGCTAGCTGCCTGGGCACGAGTGTGGTTAGGGCTCTGTCGGCCCCCTGACCTGCCCATGTGCCCTTGTAGGCCTCACATCCTGTCTTGCACAAGGACATGGCTGGTGGCTGTGTAGACGCCATGGCCGGGGGCTCAGCCCACTTTGAGGCCCACATGTGTGTACACTGGTACAAGGATGGGGTGGAGCTTGGTCACTCCTGCCGGTACTTCTCACAGGAGGACATGGGCACTGGCTGGTGGCTACCTCAGTCACCGTGCAGGATGAGGGCACCTACTTGTGCCAAGTGGGCGAGGACTCTGTGGACTTCCGGTCGCGTGTCTGTGGTTAGTGCACTGCCTCCCAGGCTTGGTGTGTGTGGAGCAGGTCTGGCTGCATCCGGCTGTGCGGCACTTGCAAGGCCAAGCTGTCTCTCCCTTCATTTCTTCTGAGAATACTTGGGGGTAGGGGCAGTTACTTCTGAATCTGGGTGAAGAAACGACCCATGAAACTAATATATATAGGTGAAGAATGCAGGCCTGGAAAATAAAACATAAGAAGGAAATTTAAAGCCCTTGTCCTCTTTTTAAAGATGAGGAAATGAGGCAGAGCAGACCTAGAAAGTGCTGGAAGTGTCCTTGGAAGGTTAGATTTGGATCTTGGTGAATCTGAGGCCCTGGCTCTTTCTAGAAGCCATTGAGGTCTCTTGGCAGATTCTCCAAGTCCAGTTCTGCCCCATCTTGGCCCTCAGAAGGGTCTCTGCCATGCCGCCCATGCCTCCTTCCATCTGAGCACAGGCACTGGGGCTGGGCTGCCCATCATGGAGCTCTGAGGCTGCTTCCCATCACACCCAGGAGGGGTTGGGGTACCTGGACCAACTGTGCCCATGGAGGGTTCCATGTGCAGCACCTCATCACAAAGGATCCTCAGATGGGTGGGATCCGAGGCTGCCTGGGGTCTAGAGCAAAGCTCTGTCATGGCTCCAGGACTCGGGAAACCTCACCTTGGCAGAGCCCCTGCTGTGTATCCCTCCCTGTTGCCAGAGCCCTCGGCGATGTTTGCCAAGGAGCAGCCAGCACTCAGGGAGGTACAGGCCGAGGTGGGGGCCAGTGCCACACTGAGCTGTGAGGTGGCCCAGGCCCAGACGGAGGTGACATGGTACAAGGATGGGAAGAAGCTGAGTGTGAGCTCAAAAGTGTGCATGGAGGCCAAGGGCTGCACCCGGCAGCTGGTGGTGCAGCAGGTGGGGAATAGGGACGCTGGGGAGTACAGCTGTGAGGCCAGGGGGCGGAAGGTGCTCAGCTGACTCATCAGGCCCATATCAGTTATACAAATAACCCCAGAACTTAGTGGCCCAATGGAACAGTCTGTGGGCAGGAATTCAAGCAGTGCTCAGCGTGGGTGGCTCATCTCTGCTCCACCTGGTGTTGACTGGGACAGGAGGATCCAGTCTGGCCTCATTTGTGTGTCTGATGTCCCAGTCAGGGGGCTGGCTGTGATGACAGGCCTCTCTCTTCTAGTGATGTTGTCTGGGCTCATTCCTGTCTGGGACCATGCTGTTCTCTCCTCTGGGGCTATGCTCTCCTTGTGACATCTCGTTCTCAAGGCCTCTTTCTCCATGTGGGTAGCCTGAGCTCCTTCATCTTCTGGCTGGGTTCCCTTTAGGGATTAGGAGATGCTACAGGGTTTGTTAAGATTTGTTTTCACCAGTCCCAGAATATTACATTCTGTGTGTTTTATTGCACAAAGCCAGACATAAGGCCAGCCTAGTTCCAAGGAGTTGGAGAAGTAGACCTCACTGTTGATGAGAAGTCCCCTGGTTAATTGGGGACAATTTCTAACAATCTACCACAAGGACACAGGCTCTATCTGTCTAGATCTTTGCTTTCTTGAGCATAAGATAAAGATCTTTCTAAAGCTTATTGCCTCATGGTCACAAGATGGCTTCCCTAGCTCCAGCCATCATGTTCAAGGTGGGAAGAACATGTAAGGATTGTGTGTGTGTTTGTTTTTTTCCTTTTCACTGCTGTGCAGTAAATTATCACAAACTCAGTGGCTTAAAATAATGCCCATCTGTTAGTTCACAGTTCTATAGATCAGAATTCAAGATGTGGATTCTGGATTCTCTTTTCAGGGTCTCAAGGGCTGGAATCCATATGCCATCTGGCTGAGTTCTCTCAGGGTCCTTTTCCAAGCTCATCCAAGTTGCTGGCAGAATTCATTTCCTTGTGGTTCTGGGTCTAAGGCTATTTCCTGGCTGGCTGGCAGCCAGGGGCTGCTCTTAGGTCCTTTGCCACATGGCCCCTCATGTCCATTCGCTCTTATGCTCCAAATCTCTTTGGCCAGGAAGAACCCCCTCCCTTCTAAGGTCTCACCTGATTAGGTCAGGCCCAACCAGGATAATCTCCTTGTTAATGAACTCATAGTCAACTGATCTGGGACCTACATTCCTTCTGCAGAATCCCTTCACAGCAGTGCCTGGATTAGTGTTTGGTGGAATAGCTTGGAGAAGGTGCATGCATACGGTGGTGCACGGATCTTGAGGCAGTCCTACCTAGCACAGGGTGTCACCTGCTCTTTCTTCTATTCAGAGAACAGATGCTCTCTGAGGAGCCCACAGCAGATTTTCCCTATGCCTCCTAGTACTGTGTGGGTCCGATGGCCATGCCTTGCTCAGACACCTGGGAAAGTGAGTCCTAATCTTCCAGCTTCAGCAGTGGAACATTGAGGGTGGTAGAGGTGGGCATCTGGTGGTGTGGCTGGCCTGGTTCTGCTGAGGGATCTGTCCTGCGGCACTGGCCCATGCCCACATCAGGGTGGCTGTGCCCTTGTTTTGGACACTGACTTCGAGGCAGGCTGTGGAGGGATCAGAGTGAACATGGTCAGACCTCACTCCTGCCTCTTAAGAGACAGGTGACCTTAGGCAAGTCGTCAGTGTTGTGTCCCCCTGAAGTCTGTCTGGAAACTCAGAATGTGGCCTTAACTGGAAATGGGGTCTCTGCAGACAACATCAAGGAAAGGATCACAAGATGAGATGACCCTGGATTAGGGTGGGCCCTGACTCCAATGACAGGTGTCCTTTGAGAGAAAGAAGAGGGATATTCGTGATACAGATACACAGGGACATGGCCAATGACAATGGAGGCAGAGATTGGGGTGATGCAGTCACAAACCCCGGGATGCCTGGAACCACCAGATTATAGCCATCCTGGTGGATGTGAGGTAGTATCTTATTGTGGTTTTGATTTGTATTTCCCTGATGACTAATGATGTTGAGCATATTCTCATATGTATTTGGCCATTTGTGTATCTTCTTTGGAGAAATGTCTATTCAGATCCTTTGCTTGTTTTTTAATTATTTATCTTTTTATTACTCAGTTGAAAGAGTTCTTCGTATATTCTGGATAGTATAGCCTTATCAGATATATGATTTGCAAATAGTTTCTTCCATTCACTTTCTTAATTGTGCCCTTTGGTGCACAAAAGTTTTAAAATTGTGATGAAATCTAGTTTATCTTCTTTGGTTGCTTGTGTGTTAGATGTCACATCTAAGAAATCGTTGCCTAATCCAAGGTCAAATAGATTGACACCTATGTTTTCTTCTAAGAGTTTTCCAATTTTAGCCCTTGTATTTAGGTCTTTGATCCATTTTGTGACAATTTTTGTGTATGGTGTGAGTTAGGGGTCCAACTTCATCCTTTCCATTGGATATCCAGTTGTCCCAGCACCATTTGTTGAAAAGAATTTTTCCCCATTGAATTTTTTTGGCATCCTTGTTGAAAGTCAATTAACCATTAATTAAATATTTACTTCTGGACTCTCAATTTTATTCCGTTGATATATATGTCTACCACAGTCTTGATTATTGTAGCTTTGTGGTATGTTTTGAAATTGGGAATGTGAATTCTTTAACTTTTTTTTCAACATTGATTTGGCTATTTGAGGTCCCTTGCATTTCCACACGAATTTTAGGATCATCTTTTTAAGTTTTGCAAAAAAGGCAGCTGGTATTTTGATTGGGATTGCATCAAAATGTGTAGGTCAATTTGGGGTATATTGCCATCTTTTTATTTTATTTTAAAATTTTATTTATTTATTTTTGGCTGCATTGGGTTTTTGTTGCTGCACGTGGGCTTTCTCTAGTTGTGGCGAACAGGGGCTACCCTTCGTTGGGGTGCACAGCCTTCTCATTGCAGTGGCTTCTCTTGTTGTGGAGCACGGGCTGTAGGCATGCAGGCTTCAGTAGTTGTGGTGCTGAAGTGGGATCTTCTCGGACCAGGGATTGAACCCATGTCCCCTGCACTGGCAGGCAGATTCTTAACCACTGCACCACCAGGGATGTACCCAAATGACTGGTATCAGATTTTTTTTTTTTTTTTTTTCAGTACGCGGGTCTCTCACTGTTGTGGCCCCTCCCTCCCGTTGCGGAGCACAGGCTCCGGACGCGCAGGCTCAGCGGCCATGGCTCACGGGCCCAGCCACTCCGAGGCATGTGGGATCCTCCCAGACCGGGGCACGAACCCACGTCCCCTGCATCAGCAGGCGGACTCTCAACCACTGCACCACCAGGGAAGCCCCAGATTTCTTTTTTAATTTTATTTTTTTGGCTGCACTATGTGGCATGTGGGATCTTAGTTCCCTGACCAGGGATCACACCTGTGCCCCCTGTGGTGGAAGCGCAGAGTCTTAACCACTGGACCACCAGGGAAGTCCTCTTTGCCATCTTAACAGTGTTAGTCTCCTAATCCACAATATGAGATGACTTTCTATTTATTTTGGTCTTTTAAATTTCTTTCAATTATGTTTTATAGTTTTTAGTGTGCAGGAATTGTGCTTATTTTGTTAAGTTTGTTGCTAAGTATTTTATTCTTTTTGATGCTACTGTAAATGGAATTTTGTTAATTTCATTTTAAAATTGTTCATTACTAATGTATGGAAATAGAATTGATTTTTTTTTTCTTTTAACATCTTTATTGGAGTATAATTGCTTTACAATGGTATGTTAGTTTCAGCTTCACAACAAAATGAATCAGTTATATATATACATATATTCCCATATCTCTTCCCGCTTGCGTCTCCCTCCCTCCCACCCTCCCTATCCCACCCCTCCAGGCGGTCACAAAGCACCGAGCTGATCTCCCTGTGCTATGCGGCTGCTTCCCACTAGCTATCTACCTTACGTTTGGTAGTGTATATATGTCCATGCCTCTTTATCGCTTTGTCACCGTTTACACTTCCCCCTCCCCATAGCCTCAAGTCCATTCTCTAGTAAGTCTGTGTCTTTATTCCTGTTTCACCCCTAGGTTTTTCATGACATTTTTTTTTTAAATTCCATATATATGTGTTAGCATACGGTATTTGTCTCTCTCTTTCTGACTTACTTCACTCTGTATGACAGACTCTAGGTCTATCCACCTCATTACAAATAGCTCAATTTCGTCTCTTTTTATGGCTGAGTAATATTCCATTGTATATATGTGCCACATCTTCTTTATCCATTCATCCGATGATGGACACTTAGGTTGTTTCCATCTCTGGGCTATTGTAAATAGAGCTGCAATGAACATTTTGGTACATGACTCTTTTTGAATTATGGTTTTCTCAGGGTATATGCCCAGTAGTGGGATTGCTGGGTCATATGGTAGTTCTATTTGTAGTTTTTTAAGGAACCTCCATACTGTTCTCCATAGTGGCTGTACCAATTCACATTCCCACCAGCAGTGCAAGAGTGTTCCCTTTTCTCCACACCCTCTCCAGCATTTATTGTTTCTAGATTTTTTGATGATGGCCATTCTGACCACTGTGAGATGAATTCTCATCGTAGTTTTGATTTGCATTTCTCTAATAATTAATGATGTTGAGCATTCTTTCATGTGTTTGTTGGCAGTCTGTATATCTTCTTTGGATAAATGTCTATTTAGGTCTTCTGCCCATTTTTGGCTTGGGTTGCTTGTTTTTTTGTTATTGAGCTGCATGAGCTGCTTGTAAATTTTGGAGATTAATCGTTTGTTGGTTGCTTCATTTGCAAATATTTTCTCCCATTCTGAGGGTTGTCTTTTGGTCTTGTTTATGGTTTGCTTTGCTGTGCAAAAGCTTTGAAGTTTCATTAGGTCCCATTTGTTTATTTTTGTTTTTATTTCCATTACTCTAGGAGGTGGGTCAGAAAGGATCTTGCTGTGATTTATGTCATAGAGTGTTCTGCCTATGTTTTCCTCTAAGAGTTTGATAGTTTCTGGCCTTACATTTAGGTCTTTAATCCATTTTGAGCTTATTTTTTGTATGGTGTTAGGGAGTGATCTAATCTCATACTTTTACGTGTACCTGTCCAGTTTTCCCAGCACCACTTATTGAAGAGGCTGTCCTTTCTCCACTGTACATTCCTGCCACCTTTATCAAAGATAAGGTGTCCATATGTGCGTGGGTTTATCTCTGGGCTTTCTATCCTGTTCCATTGATCTATATTTCTCTTTTTGTGCCAATACCATACTGTCTTGATTACTGTAGCTTTGTAGTATAGTCTGAAGTCAGGGAGCCTGATTCCTCCAGCTCCTTTTTTCATTCTCAAGATTGCTTTGGCTATTCGGGGTTTTTTGTGTTTCCATACAAATTGTGAAATTTTTTGTTCTAGTTCTGTGAAAAATGCCAGTGGTAGTTTGAAGGGATTGCATTGAATCTATAGATTGCTTTGGATAGTAGAGTCATTTTCACAATGTTGATTCTTCCAATCCAAGAACATGGTATATCTCTCCATCTATTTGTATCATCTTTAATTTCTTTCATCAGTGTCTTATAATTTTCTGCATACAGGTCTTTTGTCTCCTTAGGTAGGTTTATTCCTAGATACTTTATTCTTTTTGTTGCAATGGTAAATGGGAGTGTTTTCTTGATTTCACGTTCAGATTTTTCATCATTAGTATATAGGAATGCCAGAGATTTCTGTGCATTAATTTTGTATTCTGCCACTTTACCAAATTCATTGATTAGCTCTAGTAGTTTTCTGGTAGCATCTTTAGGATTCTCTATGTATAGGATCATGTCATCTGCAAACAGTGACAGCTTTACTTCTTCTTTTCCGATTTGGATTCCTTTTATCTCCTTTTCTTCTCTGATTGCTGTGGCTAAAACTTCCAAAACTATGTTGAATAAGAGTGGTGAGAGTGGGCAACCTTGTCTTGTTCCTGATCTTAGTGGAAATGCTTTCAGTTTTTCACCATTGAGGATGATGTTTGCTGTGGGCTTGTCATATATGGCCTTTATTATGTTGAGGAAAGTTCCCTCTATGCCTACTTTCTGCAGGGTTTTTATCATAAATGGGTGTTGAATTTTGTCAAAAGCTTTCTCTGCATCTATTGAGATGATCATATGGTTTTTCTCCTTCAATTTGTTAATGTGGTTTATCACATTGATAGATTTGCGTATATTGAAGAATCCTTGCATTCCTGGAATAAACCCCACTTGATCATGTTGTATGATCCTTTTAATATGCTGTTGGGTTCTGTTTGCTAGTATTTTGTTGAGGATTTTTGCATCTATGTTCATCAGTGATATTGGCCTGTAGTTTTCTTTCTTTGTGACATCCTTGTCTGGTTTTGGTATCAAGGTGATGGTGGCCTCATAGAAGGAATTTGGGAGTGTTCCTCCCTCTGTTATATTTTGGAAGAGTTTGAGAAGGATAGGTGTTAGCTCTTCTCTAAATGTTTGATAGAATTCGCCTGTGAAGCCATCTGGTCCTGGGCTTTTGTTTGTTGGAAGATTTTTAATCACAGTTTCAATTTCAGTGCTTGTGATTGGTCTGTTCATATTTTCTATTTCTTCCTGATTCAGTCTTGGCACATTGTGCATTTCTAAGAATTTGTCCATTTCTTCCAGGTTGTCCACTTTATTGGCATAGAGTTGCTTGTAGTAATCTCTCATGATCTTTTTTATTTCTGCAGTGTCAGTTGTTACCTCTCCTTTTTCATTTCTAATTCTATTGATTTGAGTCTTCTCCCTTTTTTTCTTGATGAGTCTAGCTAGTGGTTTATCTATTTTGTTTATCTTCTCAAAGAACCAGCTTTTAGTTTTATTGATCTTTGCTATTGTTTCCTTCATTTCTTTTTCATTTATTTCTGATCTGATTTTTATGATTTCTTTCCTTCTGCTAGCTTTGGGGTTTTTTTGTTCTTCTTTCTCTAATTGCTTGAGGTGCAAGGTTAGGTTGTTTATTCGAGATGTTTCCTGCTTCTTAAGGTGGGCTTGTATTGTTATAAACTTCCCCCTTAGAACTGCTTTTGCTGCATCCCATAGGTTTTGGGTGGTTGTGTCTCCATTGTCATTTGTTTCTACGTATTTTTTGATTTCCTCTTTGATTTCTTCAGTGATCACTTCATTATTAAGTAGTGTATTGTTTAGCCTCCATGTGTTTGTATTTTTTACAGATCTTTTCCTGTAATTGATATCTAGTCTCATGGCGTTGTGGTCAGAAAAGATACTTGATACAATTTCAATTTTCTTAAATTTACCAAGGCTTGATTTGTGACCCAAGATATGATCTATCCTGGAGAATGTTCCATGAGCACTTGAGAAAAATGTGTATTCTGTTGTTTTTGGATGGAGTGTCCTATAAATATCAATTAAGTCCATCTTGTTTAATGTATCATTTAAAGCTTGTGTTTCCTTTTTTATTTTCATTTTGGATGATCTGTCCATGGGTGAAAGTGGGGTGTTTAAGTCCCCTACTATGAATGTGTTACTGTCGATTTCCCCTTTTATGACTGTTAGTATTTGCCTTATGTATTGAGGTGCTCCTATGTTGGGTGCATAAATATTTACAATTGTTATATCTTCTTCTTGGATCGATCCCTTGATCATTATGTAGTGTCCTTCTTTGTCTCTTTTAATAGTCCTTATTTTAAAGTCTATTTTGTCTGATATGAGAATTGCTACTCCAGCTTTCTTTTGGTTTCCATTTGCATGGAATATATTTTTCCATCCCCTTACTTTCAGTCTGTATGTGTCTCTAGGTCTGAAGTGGGTCTCCTGTAGACAGCATATATAAGGGTCTTGTTTTTGTATCCATTCAGCCAATCTGTGTCTTTTGGTGGGAGCATTTAGTCCACTTACATTTAAGGTAATTATCGATATGTATGTTCCTATTCCCATTTTCTAAATTGTTTTGGGTTCGTTATTATAGGTCTTTTCCTTCTCTTGTGTTTCTTGTCTAGAGAAGTTCCTTTAGCATTTGTTGTAAAGCTGGTTTGGTGGTGCTGAACTCTCTCAGCTTTTGCTTGTCTGTAAAGGTTTTAATTTCTCCATCAAATCTGAATGAGATCCTTGCTGGGTAGAGTAGTCTTGGCTGCAGGTTTTTCTCCTTCATCACTTTCAGTATGTCCTGCCACTCCCTTCTGGCTTGTAGGGTTTCTGCTGAGAGATCAGCTGTTAACCTTATGGGGATTCCCTTGTGTGTTATTTGTTGTTTTTCCCTTGCTGCTTTTAATATGCTTTCTTTGTATTTAATTTTTGACAGTTTGATTAATATGTGTCTTGGCGTATTTCTCCTTGTATTTATCCTGTATGGGACTCTCTGCGCTTCCTGGACTTGAGTAACTATTTCCTTTCCCATATTAGGGAAGTTTTCAACTATAATCTCTTCAAATATTTTCTCAGTCTCTTTCTTTTTCTCTTCTTCTTCTGGAACCCCTATAATTCGAATGTTGGTGCGTTTAATGTTGTCCCAGAGGTCTCTGAGACTGTCCTCAGTTATTTTCATTCTTTTTTCTTTATTCTGCTCTGCAGTAGTTATTTCCACTATTTTATCTTCCAGGTCACTTATCTGTTCTTCTGCCTCAGTTATTCTGCTATTGATCCCATCTAGAGTACTTTTAATTTCATTTATTGTGTTGTTCATCGTTGCTTGTTTCATCTTTATTTCTTCTAGGTCCTTGTTAACTGTTTCTTGCATTTTGTCCATTCTATTTCCAAGATTTTGGATCATCCTTACTATCATTATTCTGAATTCTTTTTCAGGTAGACTGCCTATTTCCTCTTCATTTGTTAGGTCTGGTGCATTTTTATCTTGCTCCTTTATCTGCTGTGTGTTTTTCTGTCTTCTCATTTTGCTTATCTTACTGTGTTTGGGGTCTCCTTTTTGCAGGCTGCAGGTTCGTATTTCCCGCTGTTTTTGATGTCTGTCTCCAGTGGCTAAGGTTGGTTCAGTGGGTTGTGTAGGCTTCCTGGTGGAGGGGACTAGTGCCTGTGTTGTGGTGGATGAGGCTGGATCTTGTCTCTCTAGTGGGCAGGTTCACGTCTGGTGGTGTGTTTTGGGGTGTCTGTGGCCTTATTATGATTTTAGGCAGCCTCTCTGCTAATGGGTGGGGTTGTGTTCCTGTTTTGCTAGTTGTTTGGCATAGGTTGTCCAGCACTGTGGCTTGCTGGTCGTTGAGTGAAGCTGGGTGCTGGTGTTAAGATGGAGGTCTCTGGGAGATTTTCGCCGTTTGATATTATGTGGAGCTGGGAGGTCTCTTGTTGACCAGTGTCCTGAAGTTGGCTCTCCTACCTCAGAGGCAGAGCCCTGACTCCTGGCTGGAGCACCAAGAGCCTTTCATCCACATGGCTCAGGATAAAAGGGAGAAAAAGTAGAGAGAATTAGTAGAAGTATGAGGAAAGAAAGAAGGAAAGGAAGGAAGGAAGGAAGAAAGAAAGAAAGAAAGAAAGAAGCAAAGAAGGAAAGAAGGCAAGAAGGAAAGAAAGGAGGGAGGGAGGGAGGGAGGAAGGAAGGAAGGAGGGAAAGAAGGAAAAAAGACAGAAAGAAAGAAGATACAGTAAAAATAAAATAAAGTATAATAAAGTTATTGAATTAAAAAATACTTATTTAAAAAAAAAAAAGGGACGGATAGAACCTTAGGACAAACGTTGGAGCAAAGCTATACAGACAAAATCTTACACAGAAGCATACACATACACCCTCACAAAAAGAGGTAAAGGGGGAAAAATCATAAATCTTGCTCTCGGAGACCACCTCCTCAATTTGGGATGATTCGTTGTCTAAAGGAGGGAAGGAAGGAAGGAAAGAAAGAAAGAAAGAATGAAGGTAAAGTATAATAAAGTTATTAAAATTAATTATTAAGAAAAAAATTTTTTAAAAACCATGGACGGATAGAACCCTAGGACAAATGGTGGAAGCAAGACTATACAGACAAGATCTCACACAGAAGCATACACATACACATTCACAAAAAGAGGAAAACGGAAAAAAATCATAGATCTTGCTCCTAAAGTCCACTTCCTTAATTTGGGATGATTGGTTGTCTATTCAGGTATTCCACAGATGCAGGGTATATCAAGTTGATTGTGGAGCTTTAATCCGCTGCTTCTGAGGCTGCTGGGAGAGATTTCCCTTTCTCTTCTTTGTTCTCACAGCTCACAGGGGCTCAGCTTTGGATTTGGCCCTGCCTCTGCGTGTAGGTCGCTGGAGGGCATCTGTTTTTTGCTCAGACAGGACGGGGTTAAAGGAGCCGCTGATTCGGGGGCTCTGGCGCACTCAGGCCGGGGGGGAGGGAGGGGCACTGCCTGCGGGGCGGGCCTGCGGCGGCAGAGGCCAGCATGACGTTGCACCAGCCTGAGGCCCGCCGTGCGTTCTCCCGGGGAAGTTGTCCCTGGATCCTGGGAACGTGGCAGTGGCGGGCTGCACAGGCTCCGCGGAAGAGGGGTGTGGAGAGTGACCTGTGCTCGCACACAGGCCCCTTGGTGGCGGCAGCAGCAGCCTTAGCGTCTCCCGCCCGTCTCTGGGGTCCGCGCTTTTAGCCGCGGCTCGCACCCGTCTCTGGAGTTCCTTTAAGCAGCGCTCTTAAACCCCTCTCCTCGCGCACCAGGAAACAAAGAGGGAAGAAAAAGTCTCTTGCCTCTTCGGTGGGTGCAGACTTTTCCCCGGACTCCCTCCCGGCTAGCCGTGGTGCACTAACCACTTCAGGCTATGTTCAAGCCGCCAATCCCAGTCCTCTCCCTGCGCTCTGTCCGAAACCGGAACCCGAGCCTCAGCTCGCAGCCCCGCCCGCCCCTGCGGGTGAGCAGACAAGCCTCTCGGGCTGGTGAGTGCCGGTCAGCACTGATCCTCTGTGCGGGAATCTCCCCGCTTTGCCCTCCGCACCCGTTGCTGTGCACTCCTTGGCGGCCCCTAAGCTCCCCCCTCTGCCTCCCGCAGTCTCCGCCCGCGAAGGGGCTTCCTAGTGTGTGGAAACTTTTCCTCCTTCACAGCTCCCTCCCACTGGTGCAGGTGCCATCCCTATTCTTTTGTCTCTGTTTTTTCTTTTCTTTTTTTCTTTTACCCTACCCAGGTACATGGGGAGTTTCTTGCCTTTTGGGAGGTCTGAGGTCTTCTGCCAGCCTTCAGTAGGTGTTCTGTAGGAGTTGTTCCACGTGTAGATGTATTTCTGGTGTATCTGTGGGGAGGAAGGTGATCTCCGCGTCTTACTCTTCCGCCATCTTCAAGGTCCGCCTTGACATACTTTTAAATTTTCCAGTTTTCTTTCTAGTATTGCTGTCTAGTTTCATTGCATCATAATCAAAAAGATTCTTTGTATGCTTTCAGTCTTTTTAGATTTATTGAGACTTGTTTTATGGTCTAACATGTGGTCTGTGTTAGAGGATGTTCCATATGTGCTTGAGTAAAATGTGTCTTCTGTTGCTGTTGGGTGAAGTGTCCTCTGTAAGTCAGTTAGGTCTAGTTTCTTGTATAGTGTTATTCATGTCCTATTTCCTTATTGATCTGTCTGGTTGTTCTATCCATTATTGAAAGTAGGGTACTGAAGTCTCTGACTATTCTTGGAGAACTGTCTATTTCTCCCTTTAATCTTTTAGTTTTCGTCTCATATATTTTGGAGCTCTCCTGTTAGTTGTGCTTATGTTTATAGTTGTGATATCTTCTTGATGAATTGACCCTTTTAATCAATGTATAACATCCTTAATCTATATCTGTATATATTAAATATAATGTCTTGTAATGTTTTTTTCCTTTTGTTTGACAGTATAGCCACCTCAGGTCTCTATTGATTGCTATTTGTATGGAGTATCTTTTCACTTTCAACCTATTTGTATCTTTGGATCTAAAGTGAATCTCCTGTAGACAGCATTTTAAAAATTCATTTTGTATTAAGTTAATTCTTATAAGAAAGTGTTTCCTTCTGCTATTTTACTCTTTGTTTCTTATATGTCATATCTTTTTGCCATTATTTTCTCCATTATTGTCATTTATGATTAATTTATTTTTTCTAGTGTGCCATTTTTGTTCCTTTCTCATTTCTTTATGTATACGCACATTCATTTTTTCTTAGTGATTACCCTGGGGATTGTCATTAACATCTAACTTTGTAATAATCAAGTTTGAAATTATATCATCTTAGTTTCAATAGAAAACCTCTGCTTCTTTACAGGTTGTGCCCCAAGCTGAATGTTGTTAATGTCACAAGTTATGTCTTCATACATAGTGTGTCCGTTAACTTTATAGTTTTATAATTATTGTTTATGCATTTGTATTTTAAGTCATATAAGAAATAAAAGGAATTATCTAAGCACCAGAAGAATGATCCAATATAAATGAGAGTTGGAACTTACAAACAAGAGCAGTATTAGAAGATCAGAAGTTCCACTCAGGAACTTCAGATGATAGAAAAACAATCTGAAAGAGTATGTCAAATAAGTCTACTTAAAATGATTAAAGATATGTATGGAAGACTAGAAAATGTAAGAAAAAGTGAAATACTAGGGAAAAGAACAGGCAGATTTAAAGAACCAAATGAAATTTCTTGAATAAGAAACACAACTTTTGTAATAACAATTCAGTGGAGGGATAAACAGCAAATTAGACATAGCTGAAGATAGAATTATTGAATTGGAAGATAGATCTGAGAAAATTACTCAGGATGAATCACAAAGAGGTAGAAAATAAGAGATAATGACAGACATAGAAGAGAAGTAGAAGGCCACACGTATGTCTAAAAGGACTTCTAGGAGAGACTAGAGATAATGAGGAAGATGAAATAATGAAAGAAATAATGTGGAGAAATTTAAGAAATGGTAAAAGACATGAATCCTAAACTTCAAGATTCATAAGAAATAATGGGAATTGTAAAAAAAAAAAAAAGTCACAGCTAGTGAATTCCAGAAGGCCAAAAACCAAGAGGAGATCTTAACCTCCAAAGGGAAAAAAGATTAATGGGATGATAGTTATTCTTCCTGTAGATTTTTCAACAGCAATGAAGAGCACAGAAAAGATGTTATAGTCTCCAAAGCACTGAGGGAAAATAACTGTTGATCTAGAATTCTGTATCAAGCTAAACTATCATTCAAAAGTTAAGTGAAATACAGACATTTTCAGAGAGTAAATGGAGAGAATTTATCATTCATAAAATCTCACTGAAAGAATTACAAATGAATATACTTTATAAAGAAGAAAATCAAGTCTAGAGTAGTAGAATGGGTTCTAGAGCGTGGTTCCCTACCTTTTTGTGCACCAGGGACCAGTTCTGTGGAAGATAATTTTTCCACGGACCAGGGAGGGGGGATGGTTCAAGCGCTAATGCGAGCTATGGGGGGGATGGTTCAGGTGGTAATGCAAGTGATGGTTCAGGTGGTAATGCAAGCAATGGGGGCATGGTTCAGGTGGTAATGTGAGTGATGGGGAGCAATGGGAAGCAATGGGGAGCAGCAGATGATGCTTTGCTTGCGCACCCACTGCTCACCTCCTGCTGTGAGGCCCAGCTCCTAACAGGCTGTGGACTGGTACTGGTTTGTGACCTGGGGGTTGGGGACCTCTGTTCTAGAGTAATGTGATGTCAAGCAAATAGAGTAAGTTAATAAAAAGCAGCATCTGATTCCCAAGGCCAAGGATTTGATTACACTAATGGTGACTGGCCTGCTAGAAGTTGTAGACTGCATTAACATATTAATGTTCCTGTGACTCAGGGGTATTGCCTGTTCTTGGTGACATGGTATAAGAAATTCTCCCTGAAAATACCAATGCTATGATATGCCAGCCACAAATGATGCCTCTCTTTGTTAGGGTAATTATGAGATCACAGGTGCTAAGTAGATGCCAGAGCCTGAACTGTAACATTTACCAGTGTGAAAATTATTGTACTGGGAGCCTTCAGATTCTGAGAACTAACCTGTTCCCTGCTTTGTACATCTTCTGAGTGTGACGTTCTCTGTGTTGAGAAAGTTAGGAATAGAACTAGCTTGTGGCCAAGGCATCATGGTTTTGAGATCTGGAAGGTGGGCCCTCATCCAATTCTAGAAATTTGATTGTCTCGTCTTCCTCCCTGTCCCCAGAGGCCACACTGATATTTGCCAAGGAGCATCCAGCATGCAGGGAAGTGCAGGCTGAGGTGGGGGTGAACACCATGCTAAGCTGTGAGGTAGCCCTGGCCCAGACAGAGGTGATATGGTTCAAGGAGGGAAAGAAACTGAGTTCAAGCTCAAAAATGTGTGTGGAGGCCAAGGAAGGGCTGCACCCCGAGACTGGTGGCGCATCAGGTAGGCAAGGTAGGTGCTGGGTGAATACAGCTGAGAGGCCAGGGGCTGAAAGATCTCCTTCCACCTCAACATCACAGGTGGGTTCCTTGAGGTCCTTCTTATGTTCCTCAGCTTAATTATTAGGGAGTAGGGGTGTGTGGTCATGCCACCTAAAAGTGTGTTTTCTCACAAAACTTACCACATAGCAGCTAGCGGGTATTAATTACATGCCAAGGGCCAGATTTTATGAAGTGCTTCTTGTCTTTTTACTTGTCTAAACTTCACAACCACCTCAGGAAGAGGAATTCTGATTATTCCCATTTTAAGATAAGGCACAAGGAAATTCCATAACTTGCCAAAGTTCACATAGCCAGAGAATTACAGAGCCAGGATTTAGGCCCAATATTCTGAGGGCTATTTTCTCTGGTTATCAAATTACAGTTTAACAATCCCCTGCCCATATTTAAAAAAATGTTTTTAAGAGACTATTCCACTGTCTTCCAGATTCCATGTATTTTTTTGGAATATCTACTGTCATACATATTATGTTCCCTCAAGGGTCATTTTTAAATTTTCCTGTTGTTTTTAAGGTATTGATTTTGATTTTCAGCAGTTTACATTGATGAACCTAGGTGTGATTTTCTTTGTATTCATCCTGGTTAGGGTTGCAGAGCATTTTGAGTCTGTGGAGTTTTGTCTTTCCTCAACCATAGAGTGTGGTTTCTCACATGTCTCATATGTATCTCTCTTTCTCTCCACCTCTTAATTTTTTTTCTCTCTCTGCTTTAGTCTGGATATTTTCTTTAGATCTGTCTTCCAATCCACTAATTTTCTATTCTCCTATATCTAATCTGTTGTCAAACCCATTTATAGTGTGTTTACTTTCAGTTATTGTATTTTCCAGTTTCATAATTTCCATTTGTTTAATTTCTTATAGATTCTAGACTCTGTAGTAAAATTTTTGTATTTGATATATTTTCTTTTCTTTCACATTAAAGAAATATTATCATGGTTATATCCTGGTCTGATCATCTGATATTGCTTTTCTTTGGATTTCTATTCACTCTTGTCCTTGGCATGCCAGTGAATTTTCAGTTGACTGTCAGACATCGTTTGAGAAAACTTTTTGAATATGGATGATGTTATCTTACTTCAGACAGAGGATCAGTATTTCCTTTGCTAGGGAGGGAGAGAACAACTAAGAACTTTAGTCTATTCAAGGACTGCACTGACTCAAGGCTGCATTACCGTTTTGATCAGGGTCATCTATCTCTGGTTTGCCCCCATTCCTGGGCATAGTCCTCCAAGGATTTCTACAGAGACTTGGGGTATGGAGGGGGGTCTCTTTTCAGGCAGACACTCAACTCTGATCTTTGTCTCTGGTAATGCAAGGTGCTAAAACGTGTGCTCTAGTTTTCAGAGGTTTTCTGCTTGGCTTCGTAGTCTCCTGGGCCATGCAGTTGTGGAGCTCATCAAACATCTTGAGGGGAATGTGGCTGAGTGTGGGGCTCAATTCTACCAGATCTATTCTTCCTGGAGGCTTGGCTCCTCAATCTCTAACTTTATCTTTCTGCTTATACAAGGTGTACATAGCCTGACCAGGTTTCCTCTTTCGTAGTAGCAGCCCTATGCCTTTTAGTATCATGCTGTACCAAGGAGCAGCAGTGTCCAGAGGAGAAAATCAGATGCCCAGTGTGGTTCCCTTTTACCTTCCTCACTCACTTCACATCTATCCTTCTAGGAGAGCCCTGGCCCTAGCTCTCATCTCCGTTAGAATGACTCCCCTCAGCTTTCATCAAAGCTGCCTCCCTTTTATCATTTAGCACTTCACCTGAACATTACTCCTTACCAAGATTTTCTCTGACCACCAAATCTAAGTCACTGTCGTCAGTCCCTTCTCTCTAGCGCATCACTCTGTCTTATTTCATCACAGCATTGACCGTAGCATTAAATCATTTTCATGTTTGTATGTTTGTTTGTTTTTCCTCAGTAGAAGGTAAGATCTGTAAGAACAGAGACTGTGTTACTCACGTTTCCAGCTATGGTATAGCATTCCCAGCACCACCATAGTGCCTGCAGATAATGGGCCCTCCACTGACATTAGTTGCATCAGTGATTGAATGAATGAATGAATGAATGACTGCATATACAGCATGGACTCTTTGAGATCCTATATGTATTTATACATATAGGGGATACAAGTGCACACAACCCAACCTGCTTGCCAGAGGTGACTGTCACATGGGAAAGACAATGAACTAGCTGTGACAGATGCTAGAATAACTTTGGCCACTTTCCTCCAGCCTTAGGAATTGACCTTGTGTCAGAACATCACCAAAATGTACACTTGAGATATATGTTTGTAAACACAACTCTACACCTTCCTGGGCACATGGCATCACTGGCTCCAAGGAGAAAATTTACTGAACTCTTAAGTTTTGGTCTCACAGGCTGGTACCAGCTTTGTGTCTCTGACACTGTGTCTCCCTTTCTGTGCCCAGAGTCCTCTGCGGTGTTTATCAAGGGACAGCCAGCACATAAGGAGGTGCAGGCCGTGGTGGGGGCCAGCACCACACTGAGCTGCGAGGTGGCCCAGGCCCAGACGGAGGTGATGTGGTACAAGAACAGGAAGAAGCTGAATTCAAGCTCAAAAGTGCATGTGGAGGCCAAGGGCTGCACCCGGAGGCTGGTGGTGCAGCAGGTGGTCAAGGCAGATGCCGGGGAGTACAGCTGTGAGGCCGGGGGCCAGAAGGTCTGCTTCCACCTGGATGTCACAGGTCAGTCCTTGGAGGTAGTAACTTAGCCTTGTGTGGAGGTGATGGGACTGGCTTGCATCCCCCAACAGACCCGATGATCTTCCCACTAGACTTCATCTCTTTTAGCCTTCTGTCCTCCCACCTCCATTTTCATACCCATGGCTGGACCAAGGGAGGCTGGATGGGTAGGCTGTGAACAGAAGGGATAATGGTGTTCCTATAAACCCTGAGTGGTGTTTCCACACAGTAATGCACACTCTTCAGTTCCCAGCATCTGCCCAGAACCTTCTGGGTATTCCTTGGTGTCTGGGACTCTGGTTCTGCCTTGCACTTGGGGTCTGAGGTAGACCAGATGTCTTTTAACTGTGGGTATGTGAATTTGCTCCTCCTGGATGTCCTGACAGCTCCTAGACGCCGTCACCTAGCAACGCATGTGGGTTCACACTAGGGAGAGATGTTTGAATTTCATTAAGCCAGGACAAGGGGAAATTTCTGCCACACAGTCATACTTGGATTTATCTCAAGACTGAACTATAGATTATCAAAGTTTTAGGTGTTCTGAACACTCTTTCTTCCTTGCACATGGATATAGAAGTTATCTGTGCATCTACATGTAACAAAATCTAGATCCATTTTTCTTGCAATATGTGTGCAAAGTAAACAGAGACCAGAGGGTTGGTTGATGTGTGCCTGAGATATGCACATGTGAGGTCTGGAATTCTCTTTTCAAAGCAAATAGTGATTTCCTTTTGTTTTCTGTTAGAACATTCTATGTCAGAATTCCCCATGGAGTCTGATTTATAGATTTAGACTTGGAGAGGAATAGTAGCTTCTCCTATACCAACATGTATATATCTTTTAAGAATGGTATTTTAGAAGAATATGACAATATTTTTTCATGGCAATAAGTATGAAAGTTTTGACAAATTGATCAGATTCTTAGAAAACTATATAAAAAGTGACACAAGAAACATTCAACAACTCAAGTAGTCCTATAATATATATATATATTTTTTGCGGTACACGGGCCTCTCACTGTTGTGGCCTCTCCCGTTGTGGAGCACAGGCTCCGGACGCGCAGGCTCAGCGGCCATGGCTCACGGGCCCAGCTGCTCCGCGGCATGTGGGATCTTCCCAGACCGGGGCACGAACCCGTGTCCCCTGGATCGTCAGGTGGACTCTTAACCACTGCGCCACCAGGGAAGCCCAGTCCTATAATCTTTTAAATAATTGGAACCATAACGATAAATCTTCTCATAGAGAAAGATCTAAGCCCAGTAGTTCCACTGGTAAATTATATGAAATACTTTGGAAAGAAAATCCATGTTCATGGATATTCTTCTAGAGAATAGAAAATGGAGATAAACAGTCTCTGATTTGTTTCATGTAGATAGCATAACATTGATACAAATATCTGACAAAAAAATTTTAAGAATTAAAATTACAGACCAACCTATTATGGATATCAAGACCAATATCTGAAACAAAATATTATCAAAATAAATTTAACAATATATTAAGAGGAAAATTGGTAATACACTGTGATAAAAGTCATAGTCCAGAAATGCAAGGCTGTTCAAACACTAGAAACATTAGCAAAGCAATCTGTACATGACATGCAGAATAAAGTATTTGGTAAGATTTGGCATTATAAATACAGAAAAAAAGTTTAATAAAGTTGGCATCAATTCATGATATAAAATTCTTAACAAATTATAAATAAAACAGTTTGTAATCTGATAAATGACGCTGCAGACAAACCAGCTAATTGCACACAAAAAAGTGAAAGTTTGTCTGTGAGATAGCGAACCAGACAAGGAAGCCAACTGTTACTACTTTTAACCAACATTGTACAACAGAGATAGGAGGAAAAGAAAGTAAAAGACATAAACGTGTGAAGAAACAAAAGTTGAATTCGTGGATAATATGATTAATCCAAAGGATAAATTATGAGACTTAATAAGATAGTTGAGAATGATTACCATGTAAAAAAATCAATATGAAGAAAACACTTCTACGGCTACATAGTAGCAATAAACATCTGGAAAATGAAATTTTTAAAAGAGTTACAATAGCATCAAAAGAATCATTTTCTAATTCCATATCTAACAAAGGGTGGTGAGAGGCTCTGTGTGTGGGGGGGAATTATTAAAAATGTTTTGAGAGACAGTCAAGAAGTTCTAAATAGTTGGGTAGAAATCCAGGGAAGAATAAAAAATGTTCAATACCAATTAAAATCCAAACAAATGTTTGTTTAGTGGGGATTTTGTAAATTCAGAAGTAAATTGCTAAGACCATGTACTGTCAATACACTATTGAAGAAGAGCAAAAAGTGAGTTATTTGCTATACCAATATCAAGATTGTTATAAAGCTACAGTAATGAATACAATAGTGTCTCACTGCAAGGATAGATACACAGACCAAGGGACCAGAGTAGTGATCTCCAACACAAATCTGCACATGAATGGATGCCCACATTCCCCTGCTCCTTTCTTTTTAAAAAGATGTGGAATCATTCAAGGAGTAGAGACAACATGGTTTTAATAAATGACACTTAAACCATTTAACCATATAGAAAAACGATTAGGCCAGTAATTCATATCCCCCATGGTCAACTCATGTTGGGTTAAACACCACAGAATAGAAGGGAAAATCATAAAACTCCTAGATGATAACAGATGGTTTTAATTACCTCAGACTAAAGAATGATTTCTTTCTTTTTTAAAATAAATAATTAAGAAAAATTTTATTTATTATTTTTGTCTTCGTTGCTCCATGCGGGCTTTCTCTAGTTGCGGCGAGATGGGGCTACTCTTCACCATGGTGTGCGGGCTTCTCACTGCGGTGGCTTCTCTTGTTGTTTAGCATGGGCTCTAGGTGTGAAGGCTTCAGTAGTTGTGACTCGCAGGCTCTGTAGTTGTGGCTCACGGGCTCTAGAGAGCAGGCTCAGCAGTTGTGGTGCACGGGCTTAGTTGCTCTGGGGCATGTGGGGTCTTCCCGGACCAGGGCTCGAACCTGTGTCCCCTGAATTAGCCGGTGGATTCTTAACCACTATACCACCAAGGAAGTCCCAAAGAATGACTTCGTAAAATACAAGTGCACTAACCATAATGAAAAAAATTTGACATATTTGACTACCTTAAAACTAAATATGTATTGATAGATTCATCAGAAGATAGCATGAAGTACTGAAAAGGCAAACCACACAGATGTGGAAGACATTTAGAACACACACACTTGTCAGTGCCTAGCATTCGTATGTATAAAAATGTCCTTAAAGTGAACATACAAATGGCAGACAGTGCTATTGAAAATAGGGCACAAACGTTGAACAGTGACACCACAGAAGACCAAACACTGATGACCAAAAACATCAGAAATGGGTCTTTATTTTGAATCATCACAAAAAATGCAAAAGAGTGCCACAGGAGGTACATTTCACTCCCACCAGACTGCTGACAATGAGAGTAGGTGAGGGTAGCACATCAGCAAACCTCATTCACTGCAGATGAGAACATGCCCTGCACTTTCTTGTGGGAAAAGACTCTGGCCTCATCTGGGAGGGATGAGGAATGCACCCATAATGACCCCACAGTTTCTGTCCTAGAAGAATTGTGCAAAGAGGAAGTTTATCAGAGTATCCCCATCAGATGCTTGTACCAAGTAACAATATGAAAAACTTAAATTGTACTAGCAATTCCCACAACACAGAAGAGTGAACTCGTGGTGGGGTGGAACCCAGTGTAAAGGTAAAAACAAAAAACCCCACCGATGATGCCGTGGTTTCTTTAAAGATTTAGGTAAGGAAACATTTCTAAATAGAACACAAATGCTCCAAACTCAAAGCGCTGAAATGGACATAGGTGACACTCTTGAAGGGAAAAACTGATTCATCAGAAGACTCGATCACATAGTGAAAATGGGAGTCCAGCAGTTGGGAATAACCTTGAAAGCTAGCAATCTGTCCTTCTCTAGTATTTCAATGCATAAAGAGTGCCTAGAGATGGAGAGAAGAGAGAGCCTAGTATTGCTGAGTAGGCAAAAATATGAATTGGGAAGAACAGGAAGAACAAAAGAGTAATGGGGACACCGGTCGTTCGGGGAAAGGCGCTCAGCTTCTTTATTCCTCCGACAATGGAAAGGAAAGCCACAGGGAGGTGCCAGCACTCCCCAGAGATTGCCACAAGTTGACCATACTAAGTGTAGGCCAGGGCACCGGGCCTCAGTGATTTCCATGGACTGCAGGTGCAAAGTTCCCTGCTTAGG